TCAAGTGAATTGATATGGAGAATTATTTAGAATAAGTATTCAGTATTCAAGTATAAGCTTCAATTTGACCTACCTGAGTAAAAACTAAGACTAAAATTCTAGCATACAGCCCTCGTTTTTTGACGACTCTATCTGAGATTATACCACCAACTAATACACCCAGACTTCCACCAACTAGGGGAATCCACGACATATAGGATCCCACTAACGTACTAGTTTCATCTTCTGTATAGTCTAATGATTTACCTAACTTATTAAAATAGGGTTGAGTATTGTATGCCCACACATAACCACCTGAAAAATATATATTACAAACTATAATCACCTGAAAAATATATATTTCTATATATTACAAACTATAACCACCTGTTAAATATATATTACAAACTATAACCACCTATAAAATATATATTACAAACTATAACCACCTGTAAAATATATATTACATATATTACAAACTATAACCACCTGTTAAATATATGCTACAAACTATAACCACCTATAAAATATATATTACAAACTATAACCACCTGTAAAATATATATTTCTATATATTACAAACTATTACCACCTGTAAAATATATATAAAAAAACTATAATACTATTAATATTAATATCATATAATATCAGAAAAATAATATATACCTGAATTTCGTATTGACCCAGCAATACATAGTAACAATAATGATGGTCTAAAGAATGGTCGAGCTGTGCTTTTTAATTTATCCCACACTGTTTCAGCAGCAACATGTTCATCTGAATTGGTTACTTCTGATGTTTTATTAGCTCCTCTCTTAGGTTCTTTCACAGTTAATAATATTATAACACCAATAATTAGACCTGGGATACCAGATATATAAAATGCCCATCTCCATCCCTTGAAACAATTTAAATTTAATTCTATTACTGCAAAAAAGTGAATGGATGGGCAGGAATTTCAACTGAAGGCGGTTGACTCGATACAAAGGCCAGTTACACACACACAGACCATCAATACAGTTCTATCATGCTCTTTTCCAAAAAGTGACAGCTCCCAAATGATACCTTAAATCAAACTTGTTTGATAATTTTTTCTATATTGAAATAATACTTGCGGGTTAAACCAACAGTAGCTTACCCTTAGAGGTTAAACATAAAACATTTAATGAATAACATTTACTACTTTATAATTATAAATAAAGTACATTACAAGCAGATTATGATAGCTGGAGCTGGAAACTATCACCTTAAGGAAAATATGATAATAAAAATACTGTACAAACTATCCTACCTGATTGTTTATATTGGCTAATGTAATAAAGTTTCCTATAGCATAAGACATACTATAACCAGTATATATTCCCCAATTATAAATACCTAGAGCTGTACCACGTTGACTGGCAATGAAATAATCAGATATTATTGAAGCTGCAAATGGTGTACAACCTGCTTCTCTGAAATAAGGAAAACATATTGATCATATGAACTATCTAAACAGCCTTATACCATACCAGTAGTTGTCATCTAAATATTGCCTTTATTTATGATAGAGCTCAATTTTAGTTCTCTGAATTGAAATTAGCCGTCTGGTTCATTTTCCAACCTTTTTGTAATACAAAAAATGATTTTACAAGGGAAGTTTTCAATGGCTAACATTTTTAGTCATCCAAAAGTATCCTAACCTGTGATACCACTGTCCAGTATGATAATGGTTTTGATCCATTGAGATCCATTGATCCCCTAGTAAGATGTAATGATTTTTATTACCAGAGAAGCTCATTTAAGTTAAGTAGATCCTGACCAATTGTGCCCAATATATTTTAACTTACCCAGCTCCAAGTCCAAGTCTTAGAACTACCAACTGCCAATATTCATTGATGAAACCAGTTAAAAGTGTCATGGCCGACCAAAACATGAGACAAATAGCCAAGAGAACTTTTCTGTTATATCTATCAGCAAGGAAACCGATGAAGATACCCATGAATGTATAAATAACAATAAATATAGGCCCAGCAACTAGTTGGTATTCAAAACCTGCACCAGTATAGTCCCATTTACATGTTAAGGTACCATTCAATGATATAGCTTCACAACTAGAAAACAAAAATATTACTTTTAAAAATCAAGAGGTAATTGGTCATTCTTTCATTGTAAAGGAAAAAAGATTCTGGTGCATTAAATGCTGCTTTCTTACAAATGACTAAAGAACCATATGTTTTTCACATTCAGGCCTTCTGGAATGGATTTCAAGGCATAGAGGGTTGGACCTAACAAAAGATGGGTTTCCTTATTTTTTAGTGTCAAATTAAGCAAACTATTTGATTAAATTGGTCTCTCTAATGAATTATCATGTATTCTTAATCATATCATTTTGTTCTTATTGCATATAATTAAGACTTTTAACCAATCATACATGTCCAAGTATGTACATTCTGGATAAACAAAAAAGACTTTTTGACCTTTCTTAATTGGTCACTTGTTAGAATTCTGCTGGTAAATCTCGTCGAATTTAGCTAATTATGAATTATTTATGGACATGTGAGATTATTTCAATGTCACAAGAACACCTCTACTTTCTGTTCATATAAGTATTAGCATTCTAAATAAATGAAAATAAGGGAACCCATCCTTAAGTGGAACTAACTGAAGTCTAATGTATTAAAACTCAAAAATAAAATAGGTCCTACAAGCAGATCTTAAACTTACAATTCAGTAGAATTTCCATCACACTTAATATCTTTTATAAAATCTTTTGGTAAGGAATTATTCTTAAGACAGCCTTTATCACCAAAATGTATTTCTTGTGCCATCGGTTGAACAGTGATGGCTAACATGTATCTATCTAGCTGATTTAACAAGTATGTTAACAACAGTAGAATTAATACATATACACTGTAACATTTTATTTCTTTATACCATGGTTTAACAACTGAAATATTAAACAAATGATACCAAGTGGTCAGTCAGTTTCTGCCCCGTCACAAGGAATGAATTGGTGCTGGGGCTCAGATTTTGTACTCAGAAAATTTGAAAAATTAAAGGCCCTGAGAACTCATTTCTGACAATTTTAAGCTGCCAAGAACTTATAAAAATCTATATCTTTTTGATCTTGTACAAAGACACCGTATATGAATCAATCTCTGCTGAATTGAATGTCTTGCTGAGGCTTAATTCCGATTTGCTGGATCCAGCCCGCACGGACCCCACCCTAACAACGGGGTCAGTGAAGTGTTTGTGGGCAAATTAGGTGCCATGGGTTTGAATCCTCAAAGTGTGAAAAATTCTAATGTCAGTGCTTCCAAAAGTCGGTCTGCGTTCACAAATTTCAACTCTCAAATAGCAATTTCCAACAATGTTTTGTCTTCATTATTAATTTTGTATATGTATGCGTGACTCTGCGTGATCATGATCTGATGCATTCCATGTTCAACACTGTTCTAGTTAATCAAAATACTCAACGAATCAAAAAATCTGTTCTATCAATGAATTACCTATTATTTAGGTAAGAAACTCTGAGATAAATGATAATTTATTTTTTCCGATCATAGATGGCATGTAGGTCTACCAAGAAACCTGTAGAAGAAAAATGAAACACAAAGGGTAACATTATTTCGAATTTTAAAGTGTAAAATTGTCTAGTTACCCCAGGTTGAAATAATTGGTATTTCTTCTTCTGTACTAGGCATAGTGATATCAGTTTTTTTCTCGTCTACAGTTGTAGTTCCATTTATAACACCATTGGTTGAATCATTAACACTTCCTGTTGATATAACAGACAGTACAACTACTGGCTTCTTTTTGCTGAAAATAAAGTAGGTGCACTTAAAATTCTTTCTCTTTCATATTGCAGATTATGCTAAAAAATAAATTATATGCAGGTTTTGATGAAATTGACTATCATAAAAGGCTTAGTTGCAGTGAAATTCCAAGAACTGCAAACATATAATTGAATATTGGAATGGTGAAATAATGTAATAATTATACAATTTTTTCAAAGTAAATAAGGGGAATGAAGCGCCGACACTCTTAGCAGTCGAGATCTAGGTTTAATATCAGTATTTCTGAAAAGTACCTTCTGATTTTTCAACATGGCTACACTAATTCAGATCTGAGAAACTGACCTGGAAAAAATGTCTAGTCATTGTTATCTGAGAGCCTCAGTCTTTTCAGAAACAGTCAAAAAATTTTATTGCAAAAAGTCATTATGTTTAATTCAAATTTGTTGTTTTTAGGAAGAAGAAAATTTATTAGATGTTCCTTGAGAACAAAGGCATAAATGAAAAAAAGAAATCTAAAAAATAAACCCTTTGAAGTTGTTTGAAAATAAGAGTTTTGACCCCAAATTTTACAATTTCTGCACAAAAATACATTAATTGATTGAGGAAACTACAGTCTTTGTTGGTGAAAAAAGTAATAGTTAAAACATTAAAAATACCTGGACATTATGAAAAGAAGGTATAAATCCAAAAAGGGACAAATATATAGTCAGTGTCCCAAATCTTTTCTTCAAATGACAAGAAGATGGATAATAAATATTGATATCTATATTTAGATAAGATAATATTATCAAAGGTTGTCAGAATTCCAGGTTACTCAGTTAATAGCTATATAGACTGAACTATTTACAAGGTTATTGATGTTTAGTTATAATTTCATGCATATGAACCAAAATGTTGCACTCAGTTTTTCTACAATTACTATTATTGTGACAATTAAATTGAGCCCAAACTTAAGATCTTTTATGGCACATTAACACTTCTAGCAGATGTCTGGTTGTCTGACTTATTTTTCTTTCTTATTAATTGCAAAGGAACCTATAAGAGGTGGCATAGGCTTGGGGTTGCTCCAGACCTCCCATTTATTATCATATTATTTATTATTTATCAGCCAATCGCAGCGAATTTTAAAATCGCTCAAAAAATTCGCCCATGTGTCCACTCATCTGGACAACACTCTTTTACACCCGTACGAATAACTAAAAAATGTTGGCTGATTATTCATGCTTGCGATTAAATTCTCTCGTCTGCCCATGTCCGGTGTATATTTGTCGGGCGATCGATATTTCTTAAACCAATCAGACTTGATTCTGATATCATGTGACGTTCAGAATGGCTGCCTCTGCAATGTATACCAAGCACGTGGTCGATGGCAAAATTTCACTGGATGAAGCAAACGGTCTAAAATATTCGCTTCGTGTGCCCCTGGCATTGAGTTCATAAGTCCAAGAGTCCAAAAAGTCAATATATAAGCTTACTCAAGACAAATAAACATAACCAGTTTTAAATGTAACTGTCATGATACAGCAATATTATTATCTTACTACACAGAAAATTTATATCACAAACAAACTACTAGTAACTAAAATATGAAATCTGACTCAAATATCATATACCTAAGGCCTTAAAGGGACAGATTTGCCATTATTGGGAGTAGATTTGGGTCTTGATGTAAAAAGTCTTCAGAAGTATTAGAAATGCACAAAAATTGCATGATTCCTTCAAAAATACCTAAAACCAGGAATTTCAATTTCTAAATCAATATATTATGTCTTTTCTATATTTCACAGTCTCAAGAAATGAGGAGTCCAAACATACATGAATTTGACAGTTCATCTTAAAGATGTGTTCCCTTATTTTCATTTATGAAAATGCTAATACCTATATGAATAGAAAGTAAAGGTGTTCTAATAAACAGTTTATCTCATGTGTCCATAATTAATTCATAATTAGCTAAATCAGAAGAGAATTACCAGCAGAATTTCAATTTCTTGACCAATCAAGAAAAAGTCTCTTTTTGTTCATCCAGACTGAACATACATGGACATTTATGATTGGTTCAATTATTACTTATATGCAATAAGAACATAATGATATGATTAATAATACAAGATAATTAATTAGAAACACCAATTAATCAAAAAATAATGAAACCCATCTTTAAGACATGAGCTGTGAACACTAATACTGATAAGCTTAGCTACAAAACTTCCCATTTTCAAGACTAAGGTATGTTTGGTCAAACAGTCAAACAAATTTCAGTGTTTCGACCAATACAAACAATTTCTTCTATTTCTGACTCAAATCTTGCTGACCTCTATTTTGAACTATAAGAAGCCAGAAACTCAGTAGCTTATGTGAATCATGAGACATAGATTGGTTGCTGGAGATTGAATACCAGGGAATAGCATATCTTCTCAACATGTCCTAAATTATCACATATCTCTGCTATCTGTAAATGGTATACCCTCCATCTAAAAATGACTTGACAATAAAGGATCTGGTTGAGAATTTTTGTTTCAGGATAGAACTGGATAGTGACAACCCCTTATAGTTGATGGTAGACTACCAGTACTTACTTTCTTTACTTTAGTTCAAGTGCAGAAGTGGTAGACTAAAGCCACTTGAAGGCAGGTTTATACTCTGCTAAGCGAAGCAGCAGGGCGCAGGTTTTTCTTCTCTCGAGCATAGCATGCTTCAACTTCAGCTTTGCTGTACGTTCACAAGTTCATTTTCAAGCTAGGCGAAGAAGCAGGATATGGTCCTTCTTCTTCACTTCACTGGTCTTGGCAATCAATCAGAGACAGAGGAAACAAACTGCACTGACAGATTTGTCTTGACATAGCGAGGCGAAGCCAGCTTTTTGAGTCATGTTTTTTATCTGTGGTGTCATGGATACTATAAAATTTCTATCTACATATTTTGGCTTATTTTTTAGAACCTTCCTGTCAAGGACTATGATTGGCTTGCTTACATTCTTCTGTGATACAAGTAGCTTTTAAAGTAAAGGTATAAGACAAAGTTCACAATGGTTTCACATTGTGAAGGTGCCCTTGCATCCTCCCCCAAAATCAAACATAAAGGAAAGAATCAAACAAAAAACAGCTTCACTCACAGGACAGACCCTATTTCTTTCCCAACTTTTCAGTTTTGCTGTTACGGTTTTCCACTTACCAGCGACGAAATACACCCAAATTTAAGACAGATTAACAAGCAATATCTGCCATTAATTATGCACAGATATCTGCAAGAGATATTTTTTAATCTTTTGGACCTAGGACGTCATGTGATGGAGTTTGTTTCATAACTTGTTTACTATCAAGCCTTGATTATTGTTACGGGAGTTGATATTTACAGTCTTGATTATCCAGTTTAATACTGGTACAACAAGCTTACGAGTTCACATCGGCAATCTCCGAAGACTGGTATCCGAACGAGACCAAACACGTGCAGTAGTTATAATCTTTAAATATAATCTTTAAATGACATTTAGAAGTAGGTAGAACATTCAGCAAGAACAACTATTATGGATATACTACTCCTTTAATTTAATTTTTGCAACGTTTCAATTGTGCAGTAGTTGTTATGAATGCACGTGCGTGCTCAACCAATCAGCAGCCGATGACTGACTTTATAAACCAAACCACGCGTGCAGTTCGACACAACAGATTCAGGTGCTGCATAATTGAATGTACGACCAGATTTTCCATGTAACCTGCTTGTATTTAAGTGTACATAAAGTTTAACTTACTACTTGTTGTCATTCCTAACACCATACTTTACCCACAGCAGAGTTGAGTAGTTACTTCTCTGTCGTGTAGCGATTGCGCTACATTATCAAGTCTTTAGAATGGTTGGTGTAAAATGCCCCAATGAAATATTCTTTTTCTTGTCTAAATTGATTAATGAATATCAGTTCAAAGAACATTTATTCAAAATTGTATGTTATGATTCCTTATATAATAAGATATAGTCAAAGGCTGGCAAAGGGTTAGATTCTTAATTCCATTGGACACAATGACATATACTATCCGTTTTGTATTGGTTTATGAGTTATGTCCCCTTTTCACTTAAAACAAAATGAAAGTAGGTTTGAAAGTTGAAAAGTTGGGTAAGTCGAAGATGCAGATCAAACTAAGGGGGAAATATCCTGATAAATTTTTTCTCCATTTAAAGTTTGTGCTTAACTGTGGTTAAGCTTTCCATCATTAATGCCCCTAAGCACATATCTTTAAACAAACGTTCTGAACTTATCTCAAGTCCAACTTCACTTCAGTACAGTAGTTCAGTAGGGATGCAGGGTGAAATAGTTTTGTTGTCTTGAAGATTGTATAGTGTGTAATTCAACAACATGTTTTTTAGGTTCCGTTTTAATATTTCTAAATTGTGTAGAGATGTAAATGAAGAATGACTTCTCAACAAGTTAAAAGTTTGAAATCTCCAACTGGGAGTTTTAAATCACCAGTAAGTAGTTGCCTAGGCCTATTCAGCTATTGCTCATTTTATATTCTAAAGAAGTGGTGTTCTAAAGGTGGTTATGCTGCATACAGACATAAATATAAGCTTACAGAGAGAACTGCCACTTTTAAAATTTAAATATTGATGTCAATTTGTAGATACAGGGTAAGAGTAAGGAAAGTGTATCATCAGAAACTTTACAACAAGATATAGATTTATTAAGTATTCAATCTAAACAACTAGAAATAACAGCTTTACAGACACAGTAAGTGGAAGATTCAACAAATTTCTTCAGCAGGGAAAGTTTTCATATGTATTCAGTATGCATAGGTCAATTTCAAAGAAACTGAAAATATGAAGGGATGCCGATTGTAAAGAGGTTGTATATGTATGGAATGTTTTGAATCTTTCAAAATTTCTGTCGAACATCTTTAGTTCCTGTAATTCCAGATAAGACCTATTAGATACCACTATCCATCTAAATTGATTTAAGTTGTTGAAATTTGAAAATTTGAATGTTGTTTGACATACATAGCTAATTTATTGGAAATCAATAAACACTTTACATTATAGAGGTTTAAAGGTAGAAGAGTTAGATGAACATATTAATAAATTACATGAATATAATGAAATGAAAGATATTGGTCAAATGATCCTTGGCAGAATTGGTAAGCTATTTATAACCCACACAAAGTTTCGGCATAATATATTCTGAGATGCAGAAAGAGATTTTTTTCTGTTCCTAGATATGGTTACTTGATATCTTACATACAAATTTAGCATTAATATGCAAAAAGTGTTATTACTGTCTTGTTAACGCTTTACAGGTGTTATTTGCTAATTATTATAGGATTAGTACTCAAGAATTTTTGGGCCTTAACTTTGTAGGCTATCTTTCTTTTAAATATGGAAGTAATATTAAGTAATGGAATCCCTTTAATGGTTTCCTTATGTTTTATAGCTGTCAAATTAAGTAAACTATTTGATTAATTGGTGTTTCTAATGAATTATCATGTATTCTTAATCATATCATTCTTATTGCATATACATGTAATTAAGAGTTTTAACTACATAAATGTCCATGTATGTAAAGACTGGATAAACTAATAAAGACTTTTTGATGTTTCTTAATCGGTCACTCATTGGAATTCTGCTGGTCATTCTCTTCTGATTTAGCTAATTATGAATTAATTAATGACATCTGAGACAAACTGGTATTTTTCCAAGTCATTATCTTTCTATTCATTATAAGTATTAGCATTTTTATAAATGAAAATTTGGGAACCCATCTTTAATTATACACTTCAGGTGTGTTGTGTTTTATTTCAGCTACTCTAAAGGGTGTAAGAAGCCAAGATTTATATAATGAATATTCTCTGAATTTAGAAGATTGAAGTGTATTGCCATTAGAGTGAATGGTTCAATCATTGGATCTTTTCTTCTACATTCCATCAAGATGTCTGTGATGATTGGTGTCAAATGAAATGGAGTTTTACTTCCTACTGATCTGAGATCCTATGAAGTTAACTAAGGATAGATAAAGAAGAAATAATTAAAATATTTTATTATACCTGTACCTGTATTTTATTCAATTAAATTATAAAAGATCATAAAAAGCCTTCAATATATTGGCCTATAAGAAAATGTGCAGACTTCATACCATGTGTTGGTATTTTGATAGCATGGATGTAAACTTGGGTATCTTCATGAAAGTTCTAGAATAGAATCATAGTTTTTTGAAGAAGAAAGACAATTATGGCCTAATGTCTTCATATACCACACTTTTGCTTGCAATTAGTTATTCAAAGAAACACTTTTAGTTCCTGAAAAAAAGATGGTAAATATGCATCTAAGAATGCATAATTTTAATTGACCTACAAGACCTTCGCTAGAGAGTAGGCGATAAAAATACAAGTTTTTAATTCTACAGGAGAAATGATTAAGAAAAAACTGGGTAAAAATCCTATACTGTCTATGTCCGAAATACACAGGTTGTCACAATCGTTGATGTCTTTCTACATTTGGATGTAAATTAAATAATTGTTGTCTGAATATTCCACATTTGCTAGATTTATCTCCCTTATATCAAAAACTCCAAAATGATCGCTGATCTCATGTTGTTTTATTTCGATGATGGAATTCCAAAATGATAATCGCAATATTTTGGTTGAGTTTGGATTGTGTTATTGCTGAATATTTCATCAGCCGTTCAAATGCGAAGATTTCTTTCGATTTTGCAACCGCGCTTTTCTCTTATCAGACCATAAGCGCTATATTTAGATACCATTACGTCACAAGGATTGTCCAATCAAAAGAGACTGTGAGAATATGCCTGTTTACTGCCACAAAAAAATAATCCGCACCAGCAATGAACGCGGCTCGGACAAATATTCTTCCAAAGAGGCAATAAGAAATATAAGTTTTGTATGAGATCAACCCTATTTTTAAGTTCATATTGCGAAATCCGCTTGATCAATAACCAAAACGACAGAGAATATACTATAAGAGATCCAGCCCACACTTCCTCCGCTCATTAATACTTTTCCGAAGTCTTTTTCCAACGAAGCGAAGAAAGATAGCATGTCAGTAAATTCAGATGAAAATAACCGGTAAGAAAACCATAAATTATACAATAAAGGTGGAACAAAATTATATTTATTGAAAGAACCACCCTTTCTGAACAATTTTGCTGTCTTATTTTCCGTGCGGTTTGAGTACTTCGACTACAATTTGTCTTTATCTGTCACCCCATTGATGTAATGTTAGATGAAGCCATGTGGGGAAAGCTAAATATGGCGGACAAAATGAGAAGCACGTGTGTCATACGAGTGGGCAGTGCTGTTTGTATGGCGGAATTATCGAAAGGAAGATTTTCTAAACCAAATCCACTAATATATTTTTAAATTATAGAATTACGACCACTGCCCGGCCGTACTGAACTCTCATCTGCTAGTCAAGTCCATTGTTTCCTCAGTTTTGACAGCTGGCCAACTCGTCCTTCTCACCACTGTCCTTTCTTTCTGAACAGCATTGTACATAGCCAAATTTGGAATGTAATTTGAGATCATCTTCAAAAGAACTATTGTATTTCAGGTCTACAACTAAGGGGCCACCAACTCAAGAGGAATACTTCCCAGATGGAGCGGGGAATATTGAGGTATTTATTTAATTAGAAGCTTATTCATGCATGAACTTGATTTCATAATTCAAGATGAACCCACCAGATTATTGGTTATGGGCAAATGTGATGTTATTTTACAATGAATTTTTCAAGTTATTCGTATGCCTATAAATGGTCACAAATAAAAATGATGTGACAATTTTTTGTTAATTTATTTTTCTAGAGCAACTGTGACCAAGTTGTAGAGTCGTTTGATGATATGTACCTGAGAGAAGAGCTTCTCAGGGGTATATATGCTTATGGTTTTGAAAAACCTTCTGCTATTCAACAGAGGGCTATTTTACCTTGTATTAAAGGTAGGTAGATATATTATAAGCTTTTGCTTATTATTTAGTGATTTACTGGCATCGGTAGGTACAGCACTACTCAAATTATTAATTTTTCTGTGGATTGAAGTAACATAAAGTTAGTCACTTGTACAATGGTAATTGGTTGAATTAGCTAAAAGCTTTTCTGGTTTAGAAATTATTTGGAAAGCCTTTATAAACATGTATTTCCTTATTTTTTTAAGGATGTGATGTTATTGCCCAAGCCCAATCTGGTACGGGCAAAACTGCCACTTTCTCCATTGCAATTTTGCAAAAACTGGATCTGAAAGATCAGAATATACAAGCTCTTGTATTAGCCCCAACTAGAGAGTTGGCACAGCAGGTAAAGCCTATTTTGATTACTACCTTTGATAGAAGTGGAATTTCACTATCACTGAAGTATTTGACAATAAAATTGAAATGGTTAATAATGGAATTCTGGAATGGCCATGATTGAAGCAGGAGTTCACTGAAGTATTTCACAAGAGAGTTGAATAATGTAATGACTTGACATTGATTTGTTTTATTTTAGATTCAGAAAGTAGTGTTGGCACTGGGAGATTATATGGGTGCACAATGTCACGCCTGTATTGGAGGAACGCTAGTGCGAGAGGATCAGAGGAGATTTGAGAGTGGTACTGGTATACATGTTGTTGTTGGTACACCAGGACGTGTCAATGATATGATTGCCAGAAAATCAATGAGTGAGTTTAGTATAATGTTTGGTAAAATTGATTATGTCATATGCTAAATTAATAAAAGATTAGTTTTATAGAAAGTAGATTAACGAGAAATTATCATTAGTCAAGTGAAAACTGATCAATATTCCCTTCTCTAAACCTGTATGGATCTGTTGATTGTTCAACCATTTAAATGAAATATTATTACAGGAACTGGTGGCATTAAAATGTTTGTACTTGATGAGGCCGATGAAATGTTGTCTCGAGGATTCAAGGAACAGATTTATGATGTTTTTAGAAAAATGCCCAATGAAGTGCAGGTGAGGCTTTATAATTATCATTGAAAGATTGTGTCATTAGTTATTTATTGTAGCAAAAATTTATAATAGATATAAGATTTTTATTCTTAGATTTTGCTGGTCTTACAAAGCTTCAACAATATGCTGAGTTAAGACATATTTTATGTTGGAAAACTTTAAAAAATTTTAAAGTTGTTCTTGCTAGAAGCTTGATTGAATTATTCAAATACAAAAAAAACACCAATAAATTGAGTATTTGTAAATGATGATATATTTTACTATTAATGGTATTCATTACAGGTTGTACTATTATCTGCTACTATGCCAACTGATGTGTTGGAAGTAACTGAGAGGTTCATGAGAGACCCAATACGTATTCTTGTTAAGAAAGAGGAATTAACTCTTGAGGGTATTAGACAGTTTTATATCCACGTAGATAAAGAGGTAAGGAACTTCTATCTTGGAATTCAGTGTTTTTGACTTAGATCTTTAGAATACGATTGAAGCAGCTGCCTACAATTGGGTTTGAATTCGGCAAAGTTATTGCCCTTGTTTAATCTTTAAAGTCAGAAGATGGTACCATATCTATTCTTTTAAAATGTCGAAAATAAAATTTAGAATGAAAACTGACATATGAGTGGTTTATTTATATTTTTTTATAGTAAGTACTTAAAATATCCCTTAACATAAGATCTTTTGTTAATTTTAGGAATGGAAACTTGAAACATTATGTGATCTGTATGAAACACTCACTATTACTCAAGCTGTTATATTTTGCAATACCAGAAGGAAGGTCGACTGGTTGACATCTAAAATGACCTCTCGAGACTTTACAGTTTCTGCCTTGGTAAGATTACTCATATTTGTGTCCAAAACAAAATTCCTCTATATAGGCAAATCCTGAAAGCATGCAATTGGCATCAAGGTCAGGTAGGCATTAATGTTGTGATTTTACTTTTTCTTCACATTGATAAAGTAAACTATACCCTTCCCTTTAATGTTGAAAATTACTGGGAGTAACATTAATACTGTTTTCAAGATTGGCATTTTTATGAGAGAATTAAAATGTTTCAGCATGGAGAGATGGATCAGAAGGAGAGAGATGTAATTATGAAGGAATTCCGGTCAGGTTCAAGTCGTGTGTTGATCACCACTGATTTATTAGCTAGAGGAATTGATGTCCAACAAGTCTCTTTAGTTATTAATTATGATCTACCTACTAATAGAGAGAATTATATTCACAGGTAATTTTCATCTTTTAAACTCACTAATGAAGCAGATTAAGTCAGATATTCCAAATACTATTTGCTATTTGAAGTAAAACTTTCAGTCGTAGAATTTTATGACTGTTTAAATCAGAGGAATGAATTACTGTTTGGTCTCTATGGCATGATTGGTGTGTAAATGTAATACATCACTTTGCAAACTGCATAATGAAGACTACCAAATTTGTTATAGATCTTCACACGCCATAGTATGTGACAAACTACAGGATGGAAAAAAATAAATACTAGTTATCATAATTGTATCATAGATATGAGTGATATTAGAAATGTAAATATTATGTTTACATATTGAATATCTTGAACCAATATTTTTGTTTGTTTTCAGAATTGGTAGAGGTGGCAGATTTGGACGAAAAGGTGTAGCTATTAACTTTGTCACTGCGGATGATACTCGTATTTTACGTGACATTGAAACATTTTACAATACAACTGTTGAAGAGATGCCTATGAATGTGGCTGATCTACTTTAATTGACAGTTGTTATAGCAGAATCAAAGAGAGTTCGAGAGACTTTATTTTTCACTTGGATCCTCAAATAGCTCGACGGTGGACACCCTTGCTAGTGCTACATCAATATCATTTGTTTCAGAACTTTATTCATAATCTTAGACAAGTGACAATTTTGAATTTTTATTTAACTACTTGTAAAAACTCATTGTTATTATACCCCCTTTTATTTCTTGTCGTATTGAGATAACTACTTTCTGGAAAGTTAAGAACCGTGAATGTGCTATTTATCTACTCCAATTTCATTGCTGTAAATACTAAGTACAGCATCATTAATCTAACTGTTGAATTATTTCCATATAAGAACCAAAATGGTTCAATATGTGGGAAAACATCCCATAATGTTGGGAAAATGCCTGTTTAAAGAAAATGAAAAAAATATCAGTAAAATAGAAAATAAATGTGTATCAAATGTGAGGTGTGTACATTCTTTGCTCCTTTTGTGGGATCGTATAAAACATAACCAAATAAAGTAAAATATGGGGTGAAAATTGGCATTTGATAATCGATGATCCTGAAAGGAGTGATGGAATGAAAAAGATTGAAAACCCCTGAAGTAATGCCATTTTTGCACCAGATTAACATCAGAAATTTTTCTTGTCATTCATTAACTACCTGACATTATTCCAGTGTAAGTGACAAGAAGTCTATCCTCATACATAATTAGCACATTTCAAATGTTAAATTGCCCAGGCTATGGTGCTGCAAAAATGATCAAAATAGAACCTTGAGTTCTTGTACAAATGGCAACATCCACCTGAAAGGGCTGCAAAGCAAAATGTCAGGAAATGCTTTACAAGGTGCCGTAATTGACTTGTCTGCTACTTCTAAGCCACAACTTAGATTACTAAATATGTTATAACCATTGAAGGAATTAATTGAAAAGTGCCTGGGGTTGACAGACATTTGAAAAATGTCTTTATAATTATATACCAATATTATATAATACGATTCTGTAAACCTTGGGGCAATTTCAACATGTCAGTTTGCCTTGTTAAGGTGATGGAGCTAGAGGCAAATTGTAATAGGATTGGTAATATATCAACAAAATATGGTGGTTGCACTCCCCTATCTACTGTCTCACACCTTCCCATTTCGTTCTTTCCCTAGATGTCCCCTTTCCTATTTTGGGTCTCTCAATCCACACCCTTTTTCCAAATTTGCTCCTCTTCCTGTAGGCCCCTATTTCCGATTGGCCCCTTATGTGTTAGCCTCTTTCCTTATAATTCATATGGTTTGGAGATCAATGTGGGGAAACTTTGCCTTTACATATCTTATCCACATAGCATATGAGCAAAGTAGGAAAACTTGAAAAGCATGTACTATGGTATTGAAGATTATCAATTGATATCAAAGAAAATTAAGCTCATTTAAAAATCTACATTTATTTGCGTTATAAAATTTATAATTTATCAAACATTTTTTGGATCCAACATTTATGCATTTAAAATCCCTTCATTTTTCTTCTTCTTTGAATAGGCTTTGATAGTTTTACCTCCCCCGCTTGCTTGCCTAATTTTGTTGTAATTAAAACAGAAAAAGAACAAGAGGTTGTCATATTCATTCGAATAAATTGGATTGATACATAGTCCATGATAGTCCGTGAGAAAATAATAAATAGCCTCTATAGTGGAAAGATATTCATCTGGATTACCATCTTGTGTTCTCCAAAATTTGGTTTTTCGTAGTTTTATTTCTACTCTATTAATATCTGAAAATATAATTCAAATGTCATCTGAGAAACAAGCATATTTCCTTTTGGATAGTTATGGTGTGATGCTTTTCTATCTAAAAATCATCATGAAGCTTAAAATCAACGTTTCAAAAAGTATCACTGATGATTGAGCAAAATATAGCTACTTGTTTGTAGTTGAAAGTATTTCTTTTAGTCATGATTAACAACACCCACAGAAGAAATCAACATCACACTTTTTTGAACAGAGATATTTGTACAATGTTTTCCAAATCAGTGTGTTTTTGTTTCAATTAAGATCGTGGGTTTCTCACTACTTAAACGATCTGCTAGCTAGTTGGACATAATAGTATAAAACATACTATGGTAAGGACCAAGTACTATGGAGGCTAATGAAAATGTCAATACCTTTCAATCTTTCATCATTGGCAATAGTGGGAGTTTGATTCCATGTAGAGTCTATAAACACAACTTTATCAAACCATGGAGTCACTTTACAGATTGTTTTACTAGCTTCACTGTTACTTTTAATAGTTCCACTGTTACCTTTACTAGTTTCACTGCTACGTTTACTAGTTTCACAGTTATGCTTACTAGTTTCACTGTTACCTTTACTAGTTTCACTGCTACGTTTACTAGTTTCACAGTTACGCTTACTAGATTCACTGTTACTGTTACTAGTATCACTATGAGTTATTTCACATTTACATGAAGTTTCACAATTGAATGCAGTTTCATGATTACGTTTGGCACCTATCTTTGGATTCTCTTCACCAATTTTACAAAAAGTTTGACCCATTAACCTATTGTCATCTTTTGCTCTATCGGTATCCCGATCTTTCTTTTCAAGATCTGGTAGCTGCTTTCCATCTTCCAGATCTGTTTCTTCTATTGATGTACATTTCTTTAATCCTAAAACATCCTCTAAATCACAAGATTTGGGACCAGGAAAAATTAAAATGGTCTGAAAAGAGAAATTAAGTAAAAGAAATAGATTCATAAAAATATTTCAATTACCAACCAAAAGAGCACTTATTTATTTTAATGTCATTCACTTACCATTTTTAGACGCTTATTTGGGGCTTGAATAAATGTAAACAGTCTTCAGAGGCACTAAACTGTTTGAAAATCATATAATCTCTAATATACCTCAAGAATTTCCATTTGTATTTCGATCTTCACAGATTTTCTCTTTGCCTGATCTTTGTATGGCTTTAAGCCAAAGTCAATGATCTTCCAAAATTCAACGTGAGAATAAAAGCCTAGACATGACAGTCAACAAATTTATGATGAAAATCGATTGGATAGCTTAAATTTAGCCATGAAGGGCAGCCATGACTGCCATGTTAATATGCTAAACTTAAGCTTCATTTTAATTTAGCTAGTGTCATTAGATTTGTTTATATCATACACGGTATAGACTCTTGAAAGATTCCCAAGGATGTAATTTCTTTCTATACTTTTAATGACAATTACCTTAGAAGGATCGTAAGTTGGTATACAAGGGTAGTCGTATATAGTAACGTCATCAGATGCTAATATAGCAGCGTGTGGAGATGTACTTTTACCATCAACCTCACTTGGGTGTTTTATTACATCAATTTTCACTGGAAGCTGGCAAAACATAATTATTCATGACAAAGAATTCATGGGACAGAAGAAAAAAGATAGGAAAATATTTTGTAGCAGACAGAGACTTAAAATAATACATGTTCTTCAAATGCAGTTGAACAAAAGGCTACAAAAATGAAACAAGGCATTGGTAGAATAATCACCATGCCACATTTATTCCTATGGCTATGGAGGCCAGCACAACAGGCTTATACAAGACAGTGCTACTGATGGGCCACCATACTGCACAAAATTCACTTACTTTCACTTTAGGGATTCTGTCGGCAATAAAATCGTTGACTGGTTTATAACAAGTATAGCAGTAATATTTTCTTGATCTGTTGCATTTAGAACAGCGTTCTCTCTTCTCGGTCGAATTCAAGAAAGAAAAATCGTCGATTTTCAGTTCTGGAAAAGGGTTGTCTTCCATGATTAGTCTAATAGTATCACGTTTGTTTGGTCATCATCCACGTTTAGCTTTGAAGATATAAACTTTGGAAACAGATTATGCTAATCAGACACGAAAGAAATGTTAGTTATGTTTATGCAAATGTATAATGCTTTAAACATGTTTAAAGGGTTTTTGTTTTATTTTTTAAATCTTTTATTTAAAAAATTCATAATTTATAATTTGTTAAAAGTTGTAAAGAACACAACATATCGAAGAGTGTAGAGATTAGTTCGGTTCCTGCTGAGTTACAACAAAATTCACAAATTTAGTGTAGCCATCGACCTACATTTTCCTGACGCTTGTTTCGAACTCTGTATGTAAAATTCGAAATAGGTTCAGGTGTGTCATCTCCAAACAATTTACAAGAATTTAGGTGAAATCATGACTTCAAGGTAATTTTTATCTCTCTTTTGTAATATTAATTAGATGCGAGAATGTGATAAGTATGATATTGTGTATTTATTGAGAAAAAGCCCATTTTCGCACATATCCTTCGGCCAGGTATATTTTCTAGAGTTATCTCCCTTTACACAGTTTCAACAAGTTGAACAATTAATCCGAAAGGTTCTAAAAAAGCATTTGAAATAAGGAAATCCTTAATAACTCTAATTCCACGACGGTGACCTTATGGGTATTAATTATGTACATATGTCTATATGTTTATTTGTCTGTCATTTCGTCTATTTTCTCTCATCTTTTTATTTTGTTTGATCCTCATTGTTCTTTAATATTTATGTTTATCTATTCATGTATTTATTTTTTTAGGCTATAGCAAGTGATTTGCTCTGCCAGTAATAGTTCAATTTAGATTGAAAAATATGAATAAATGTCCCAGGCATCTAGCTGTTTCTATCAATAGTCGACCCTCTCTATAATAGTATATAATAGAAAATAGAAGACGGTGGCCAACGCTTGTCACGACCATCTCCGCTTCAGACAATTTTCTACCATTGACCGTAATGAAAAAAAATCCCTACCTTATATGAATCGTTTCATTGAATATTTTCCCTTAATAAAAGTAGCAATTGATAGCACTAATTATAATTTTGGGTCAGTATAACTGGCTAATGAATTATTACAATTCACAATTCTGTACCAAGTGGTATACCTTGGACCTAGATTTAATCAGATTTAAAGAAAAGAGCAATATAAATGTATATCTATTTCAAGAAAGTTGTGATTTGATTCCCATAACTTTAACGCTTTAACACTTATGTTTCTTTAAACACTACAGCGCTGTCTATATGAAATCAAGTATTTTTTTTATCTAGATCATGGCCACAGCCAAAATCGGAAACCCCCAGAATATCAGTGAAAAACTATATGGAACGACAGCTAACTGATCTACACTACACTTCTTCTGACTTTAATCTCTGGGACAAAACACAAAGTTTCATTTTGGCTACAGTCATTATCATTGGTCTACCATTTTTACACATAGGTAAGCAATGTTTGATCAAAATTTAAGTTCTGTTTAGGCCCATAACAACGAGAATATTAACATTTATATTAAATCTACCGATGTGAAGGTTGATGAAATCTGCAGTGGTTCAACTACCACATGGACTGGCTGAATCAAGTTAACGGGACAACATCCCTAAGGGCTCCCTCTTCCTCCAAAATTAAATGTACATATTCTACAATTAATGTGTACAATTATAATCAATCTTTCATACTCACATTGACAGGCATTAAATTGACTTATAGAGGGATATCAGAATGCAGGAGAGCGTATGTTAAAAAAAAACTTTGGGGGGGGGGGGGGGATCCGGGCCCCGACCCACTTTAGTCCTAATCTCATCTAGTCGAAAATATTTAGACGACGATATCCCTTTAAATTTTACCAAAGTTACAGTACAATTCAACTGTTGCTCTTTTGGTTTTCATTAATATCAATATTATTCAGAATGATTAAATTTGTGGTGTTATTTTGTAGGTGTATTTTATTTGATGATATGGGTACCAGATAAAGCACCCATAGACAGACAGAGTTGTACTTGTTCATGTTTTGATACTGTTTTCAGAGGTAAGGTATTATCATACATAGAACAATTCTATATTTCTCTTTTGATCAGTTAAACACTGTTCTTAGGTTTACATACATATTGTATGGCGTAGGTTGAAATATGATTAAGCAGACGTATAGTCGACAACGTTCAAATTCGGGCAAATTTCAATCTGTCGTCCTTTGAAGCCCCGAAAAGACCAATCAATAATATAAGCAGTAATGCCAAAGGATCAACTTTACGACATCGCCATATTCAGGTTTGATAAGAGGAAGGAATAACCCCAATCTACCTTACTTTCTTGCAGGTCGCTATGAGAATCCAGGACCAGTGAGTTACAAACATCTTTATTTCAACGCCACGAAGGAGACGTTTAAAATCTGGGTGTTTACAGTGATATTTATTTTAATGTGTTATGAAAGTGTGAAGTACCTCTATAAACTATTTCGATGTGGCAACGTGAGGAAGTCGATGTTTGTTCTATATTTAGCAAATATCTATCCGCATTATTATGCATGGTGGTCATTTTTAAACTATTTTAACGAAGGAATGTACCAATTTCACGCTAACCAATATTACTTCACAATAACCGAGATTATCGCAAGTGTAGTCGTTCTGAACTTATGCAATGCCGCTAATAACATTGCCTCGTGGAAAATGTTATTGATTATTACCATTAACTCTATGCATATAATGGTCAGTGCGGCCAACCAGTTTATTGTGCATGTCATTCATGGACGAGGTCAGAGATTTCAGAACGCCAGAAACATTGCTCTGATGATTCCAGACATTTTGCATGTTCTAATACCGATATTTTTGCTGTATCGTTATGCCCGACAAAACAAATTGGGGATGACAGATTTATTTTATAAAGAAGAACTTCTCATTTGCTTCATAGCTGTTACATTTGGCACGCTTGTTGGGAACCTTCTGTAAAAACAGGAAAAGAGTAACATTCCACTTTTTTTTTATCTTGTTCATGTTAGTAATAAAAATGATAAATGTTTGTCCATGTTGTTTTATGCTGTTAATACTAATTGCAGGAGAACCTATTTTTTTTTTTGGCACAGCAGTTATATTTATTTAATAAGAGTCTTAAAGGGATTGTAAAGAAAATTAATATCAGACATCTGTGGTTCCTGTAATTCCACAAAAACTAAGCGTTTGATGACGTCACTAATCGCAAAATATGCTGTGACGTAACAAAATGCTTAGTTTAGTGGAATTAGTCTGATCGAAAATTGGAATGGTGCAAAATGATGCTGTCAGTGTCTCCGATTCACATACACAATTTAGAAATCTTCTTTACAATCCTTTTAAGATTGGGCGTAGGTCAACTCACAATTCAAAGCAACTCATCGGGTCAGAGTGGGCTAGAGTGAACCTCTCGTAACGAGAAATTGACAAACTACTGGATGGTCGCAGATAGTTGTTTGCGAATGAATGTGTATGAATACGTAGTTACCCCCTCCCCTCCATGTGCTCAGTAAATATAAACAATCATATTGATTGGTGTCAAAAGATATAATTTTATTCATGCTAATACTCATTCACTCTATAATATAAATTCTTTCTTTTTTTTTCTTTTTTCTTGTTTGTTAAATAATGAGCTTCATTGCTTCAATTTTAAGATTTCTATAGGCCGAATATCCTTTACCATCCCGTGGGATTAAATTTGAGAGGTTTCCTTTTCAGTTTATATGCACTACGAAGAAAGGCGAGCCGTCTATTCCCATTACTGTTTGGCACTCTCTTAAACAAAGATGGCATCCCGAACAGTTCGTTATCGCCACTATCAAAACGATTGTTTAACAAATTCCCCATCTCCGAGTTCCATTCAGGTAGCCCGGATATGCTTCTCTTACGTCTCCTTCTCCAGCCGGTCGGATTGAATTTTGGTCTCTTGAGAATCCATGCTGGCTGTTTGTCATTTTTAGAAGAATTTTCCAGAACTGTCAATTTCTCAGAATTACCACGGTTTTTATGTGTTAAGATCTTTCTCACGAGTTCCATCACATTATCTCTATCTGTATCAGCTTTTATGTCAAGAATACCTCGAGGGCAATCCTTGTCCAACTCCGGGGAACACTGTGTGCTTGGGGCATTGTTATTATCGATATTTTGGACTGTGGTGGCTAATACCAACGTGGAACTGATCATCGACAGACATCCTACACTGAACATCCAATGCAGAATCATTCCGATTCCAACCTGAAACAAGAATTATTGTATATTGTAGGATAGTCGACTACGATCACTCTCAAAGAGACTCATGAAAATCGAAAAGTGACGAGTCAACCAAATATCCTTTAAACTAGCAATACTGATAATACAATCTTTAAACCTTCTTTTAAAATTTGCCCATTTATATACACAAATTTCATAAAACTGTGCTATCTATTGCGTTCAAAAGCAAATCATGAAATACCTTGTCATGTGCAATAACTATGGGAATTATGACAACTGTAAATTGTCCCTTGCTTAAAAAAAATGTTCAATCGTCAAAGTTGGGGTACACTATTCGACAGCTCTGACGAAGCATCGAAAGTCTGAGAGGTCCCTCCCCATCCCCAGGAACATTTTTTAAAAAAATATGGTTTTAATGCACTCAAGGTTGATTTGACGAATGTTCAAGAAGGCTGTCGTTAGACACTTACTTTAGTTACTATATATAAAATAAAAAAAAATAAAAAAATACCCGGAACGAAAGTTTGTCTAATCATAACGCTTTATAGCCTTTGACAATTTCGAGAAAAATTTGTCAATACACTGCGCATTTATTTAGCAATTTCAGAAACCTAAACCAAAAACTGTTGAAACCTAGTATGGGGTGCCATAACTATCTTGCAATATTCCAAATAAAAACCGAAGGTTGGAATTTGGGAATTTTTCTCCCAAAACACTATAACAGAGTTTGCTCGAATCAGGCATGTTCTTATTGTCAGAGAGAAAAAGCATTGTTTACTTTTGTCATGACATCGATGATAGAAAAAAACTAAAGAACAGAGTGGTGGAAGTTTACCATTTAAATCGGCTAGAAAATTTCTTGAATGCTAATAGGTTTATAATTGCTGCTTTTAATTCAATAATCAAAATGAGCTTACCGTTGATGTTACTCCGAATCTCTTCAAACTAGCAAAAATATCGAATACAGACTCACTTTCAAAATAAATGATTATAAAACCAGTATCACTCGCTTGCTCAGTTCCATCTGAACTTCTTAATGGCAAGGCCTCATATAATATGGAAGGCTCAGCCCACACAAGATGGCGGATGGAAGAAAAGGGCGGGAAATAAGATGTTTGTTTAGTTTCCCCTAATCCAGTCATTTGTGGACATAAAATGATAAAAGAATACTAGATAATTGGGTCTAAAGTCTGTATCGGCCAGTTTCAGGCACGATGCCAGTTTCCTATAAATTAATGGCGGTCTGCCAATCAACGGAGCAAACAATAAAGAGTCTTATCGGTACCAAGGAATCTAAAATCGAATCACGACGAGCTATTTAAGGGATTATTTCAGTTTGTTTAGAGTGATCTATGCTAATTTAAAATGGACTCATACATTGATCTTTCGACTTAAAACAATTGAGTGAACAAATATGGTTCCTCTAATCATTTTTCAACATTGATTAACCATAAATAAACCCCCCAGATTTCATAAGCGAATAGGCTGTTACTTCATACGACATAAGTCTCTTAGAGGTAGCACATTCTAATCAGTAGAACATTTTGTGTTTGCACAAAACCTTATTGTGTAACTGTACCATCTTCACAATGCTTATGCTATTACGAATTTCATGTTATCATCCTCACAATGCCAAGCTATTACGAATTTCGTCTTATACCTTGACCACAATAGTCCGTCTTTATTCTTTCCTGCATCTTGAAAATGCAGCAATCTGATTGGATTGTACGCGAGTCAGAGCTCTCGATAGAAAGTCTGTAAACAACAAACCACACAATGTACACCTTTACAAATTATAGAATAGCCCCACCCGTCTTTGCTTACGGTTCCCGACTTGATTTTAACACATCGTTCAGCGCAAAATGCACATGAACCTCCCTGGATATATAGGCTATCGACAAGACATGGCAATGACTACCATAAAATAAACAGTTTCAGTACAACGGTTTTAGGCCTATTTTTGTAACTTGATTTTGCAATTGTCTATAACTTTATTGTGATAAGTTATCGCCCTTGGACTATGGCGTCTATAAATGTCATGCCTACATACATAGAAAAAACAAAAAAAAAAAAAACAAGGGAAATTTACCTCCCCTGAAATTCAGTTGATTCTTTTACGCCAGGATGGTATTGCATGTTCTTATTGACAGCTTATATCATTTTCAACCAGTCCATCATTTCCAATTAATATGTTTTTAACTCAACATGGATCAATCTAGGCTATGCAAATTGCTATACACTGAAAACCTAAATCTTTCAAATTCTATCGTATTTTCAAAGTGTTTCAAACTATGAAGCAATTTTTTGTTGAAAAGAGGTCTTATTCACCTATAAATAAAAGGTAAAATATTATGATATTCGTGTTGATACTTTATGAACAATCGATATGTACAATGTACATTGGTGAAATTTGAGATATAGAAGGAGACTTATGTTGTCCTATCAATAACGACGAAATTGCAAGAAATTTTTACGCATTTTGACAAAGGTTCCTGATTATCTGAACTGATTTCAATTCGACAATATTTCTCTAGACGTAGGTGTCTTTTACTGTTTCCAGCTACCCTCCTAACATGGCTAAATTAAATCATAAATAAAATGAAAGAATTCAATCTAAATCTGCTTTATGTCTTATTGTCTTTAAAATACCCCCAAGTCACCATTGATCCCCTTCCTCCTTTCACAATACCGCTTCAAACACAAGAATCTTCTTTGAAATGACGACTGCTTTCATATGTAGTGTACATACCCGAGGCCCAAAGTCTGTATGTTTTTGACATTCATTCATTCAAACATCAAAGTCAGAAAAATAGTATTAATTTCATTCTTTGATTAATTGGGAATGTAGTTAAATTTGTTAAATTGACGTCATCCATTTAAAAGACCAATTGCCTGCAGGAGGTTCTATTCGGTTCGCTGTGCTTGTATAACCAATTGACAATCGATGAACTGTAGGCGAGTTACTGCCGCTGTTTTGGAAAACTAAGGTGGTTACCTTTGAAATTTTTGCCACTTAGAAAAATGGTCATAGTTGCGGCCCTGGGAATACCATTTCCAGTTTCTTGAAAATTTCTCGTCTTTAGTGTCATCGTAAACAGAAACCGATAACCATAAAATTACCTTTTCATATCCTAATATATCATATTATTATGCACTTGGCTCGTCTTGAAAATACTAGTTTTGTTTTTGATGGAAAAATAGTAAATCAAAAACGCAAGCTCACAACCAGTGGTATATTAGAAATATAAAACGAAGAATTACAATTCTGTTTTGCGTGCCGCCATTTCTTCTCTTTTGTGTGCCATACGATCTGCTATAGATTTCTTTTTTTCTAGTACTTCATCTTCTGAATGAAATAGTCATGAAACCATTATTTAAACGTATTTCATAAACAGAAGTATTTAAGTTATTTCTATTTCAAATATCTTTTGAAAGATGTCATTATCTTGGCTTTATTTCTTTGTCTCGACTGACAGGGGGTCCGATGTTCCATGTTTTGGAACCGACCAATATCTTTCCACCAGAAATGTAAAATATAATATAAGATTTGAAGTGTACCAACAATGTACCTCACTCTCGGCGAAATTTAGGGGGTGACGAAGGAATTCTCCACCCATGAAATCTCTGTTCCCCTATACTGTAAGGAACGTAGCTGCGCATACTATACTACAAAAATAACTTACGACTTGTTGGTTTAATATTAGCCGTCAAGCAAACAGCTTCAATACTTTCTATGTATTGTCCATTCGATTCTTCAAAACTTTTCCAGTAATTCTGACACAGCTTATCATAAGCAAGCCTAAGCTCATCTGTAAATAGCAAAACCAAATTACAGTTATATAGTTAAATTAAATAATTGTCATATTTCATATCTAAATAAAAATCACCGTAATACTATATAAAGAATAATGAAAATGCTAATACTAATATGAATAGAAAGTCGAGGTGTTCTAATGACTTACACAAATACCAGTTTGTCTCACATGTCCATAATTAATTCATAATTAGCTAAATTAACCGAGAATTCCAATGAGTGACCGATCAAGAAAGGTCAAAAACTCTTTTTTTCGTTTATCCAGACTGTACATACATAAAAATTTATGATTGATTAAACTCTTAATTACATGCAAAAAGAACGTAATGATATGATTAAGAATACACGATAACTCATTAGAAACACCAATTAATCAAATAGTTTGCTTAATTTGACATTAATTTAAGCTATCAAATCCACGTATACGAAAAAAAATATGGTCAGAAATATCTGTGTTTGAAAATAAAAAAGACGACTCGTCTTTTCTTGAGACTCTTTCATATAGAATATATGCTTTTCTAATGGTGTATATTGCGCAAGAAAACTAGGCCCAGTTCTCCGGTACTTTTCGATTCTTCGAAGGTTTACACTTTATCTCAATTTATAGTTGAGAAACATGCTGCGTTTGGCAACTAATGAAGAATAGTTTTGACAGTTATTGGCTGGTAGGATATCAATCAGAAGCTGAAATGGGTGGACAATCAACAAAATTAGACCAGAGAGAAATTTTTAGTGAATTTCGAATTTGTCTCTTTCAAATTCACAGTTATTTATATTGTACATGCCATATCTTAAGAAGGCGAGACAAAAAATAAGGCTTTGAGAAGGCCAAACCAAATCCTTGAGGTTCGTGCTCATTTACAGGTTTGTTTGACCGCGGAAAGGAAAGGGGGAAAATTTACACCTTATTGCATGACACTAAATTATTACCCCTAACTGCAATACGGAATTAGATCAAGATGCCATATACCTTGAGATTTCGAAATTAAGTCTTTTTCGTCCAAATCCATTTCCAGGCCGCATTTTATTTCTGGTATAACCAACAACATGCATAAAACCAATGAAGTAAGCTTTAACATTTTCGGTTTTTGGATACTGAAATTAGAAAAGGGAAATGGAAAAATAGACGTAGAAATCGTTGATCGTTTCGAATACTTACTTGCATGTGAAAATTTCACTTAACATTTCTGACAAAGCCCCCCTCCCGTTACATCTTACACAGGTAAGTACCCCCTCCTTGTTACATAACACTGGGTCATACCCCAACTCTTAACCACCCCACCCAACCCTCTATTTTAAAAATGATGTCAAAGCTGTAAAAGCGAGGCCCCTATCTAACATCAGTGATGTGATGTGTTTGATTGTGAATGAGCTGGAGTGACAAGATGATGAGTTGTCTGATCTACAAGCTCATAGGGTACATCTGTAATGCCTCTTCACGATGCAGGCTCTTCAGGTACATCTGTAATGCCTCTTCACGATGCAGGCTCTTCAGGTACATCTGTAATGCCTCTTCATGGTGCATTCTCTTCAGGTACATCTTTAATGCCTCTTCATGCTGCTTTCTCTTCCGGTACACATGTAATGCCTCTTCATGCTGCATTCTCTTCAGGTACACATGTAATGCCTCTTCATGCTGCATTCTCTTCAGGTACACATTAATGCCTCTTCATGGTGCATTCTCTTCCGGTACACCTGTAATGCCTCTTCATGCTACATACTCTTCAGGTACACCTGTAATGCCTCTTCACGCTGCAGACTCTTCAGGTACATCTGTAATGACTCTTCAAGAGCACTCTTTGTCGTGGGAGAGATAGATGAACAGTAATATAACTAGTCAGCACTCCACCACCTCATCCCCTGTAACACTTTGTAATGTATACCTAGACTCACTAAAATTCCAACAGCATGCTAGAAAACCAACAATTTGAAAAAAAAATGCCAAAAATTATGCTCCCATTTTTTATCTTAGAGGGTACTAGTCGCTGTTGTTTTTTTTTCTTAAATTTTTGCATCTAACGCGACAGTCAGATACTGTGAACCTTGTACACATAGAGAAGATTAACAACTGAACGCCGTAAATAGATTAACATTGCGAGGATGAATGATAATCATCATCAATATTATCAATTAGTGGGCATGCATATCTAATAAGATACAAATCAAGTTCTATATTGATGTTTAATGAAAATCAAAGACAATCCAGACTTTATATACCCACCAATTCTATAGTTGATTCGCTATGAATGAAATAGGCAGTCGCGATTTTATCTATGAAATACACACGAAAAGCACGTGCGCGTTGTAATTTCGTTGACCGTATCGGTATGTGTCGAGTGTCGAATGGCATAGTGTCCGATTTTGCTCTTGGACGATTTGTCATGATATTTGTAGTCTCAATTGGTATGACGTACATTTTGCTTTTTGATATTTTAACATCTTGACAATCGAAACTACACGTTTGTTTGCGAACATGGCGACTGACAGTACATTTCCGGTTGATGGTATTTTGCCTAAAAAAGAAACTGGGGCTGACAGCTTTATTTCTAAATATCCAGATTATGATGGAGACGGTGTACTTATTGCCATTCTTGATACAGGTGTTGATCCTGGTGCGCCCGGTTTGCAGGTATGTTTGAATTACTAGTTCCAGAAAATGACATGAGCTGACTTGACATTTTATTTCCATCTGTTAGTCCGAAATGTCAGTAAATGCATTTGGATTGGTACTGACCACTTGTTAAAAATATAAATTATAAATATAAAGTTATAATTATTACTGTCAAACCAATCGATTTCTGACTGGCTTGTGCCTTGGAATACTCAGTGTCAGTAAATCAAACAGAATATTCCATTATACCCCAAAGTTAATAAGCTTATTACTTGCTAAGCAATTGTTATTGTTATTTAATATCACATTGTAACACTTCTTCAGCAGCAGGAGGTATAGTATCATATATGATAAAAGAGGGAAAGGAGGCAATCCTGTTTGCCTATTTTAGGTTCTTTAGAATAAAAAATAAAAATTATTTAGAGGTTGATTGTAGAAATTTCAGTGTAATGGATAATTATATTTATGTAGCATAAGATTACACCTTAATTCTTTTCTTTTGTAGACCACACCCAATGGTAAAAATAAGATAGTAGATTTGATTGATGCTACAGGTTCTGGAGATGTAGATACATCAACTGTTGTAGAGGCACAAGATGGTGTGATCACAGGATTAACTGGTAGAAAATTACAGGTAAAGATAATACACTTTATTTATTTCTTCAGCCAATAACGGCTTTCAAATCATTCAAAGCTTTCATGGACTTTCATGGAATGTCTTTATTAATTGCAGGTACCAGAATCTTGGAATAATCCATCAGGTCGGTACCATATTGGTGTCAAGGTATTATTTGAACTCTATCCTAAAGGATTGAAAGATCGTATTACTAAAGAACGACGAGAAGCTTTATGGGATCCACAACAAAGAAGGGTTTTAGCTGAAACAACTAAACAGTTAGAAAATTTTAACAATAAAGTTGGTAATTCGGAATTGGTAAGTGTTTATTGTTTTTGATGAAATACAAACATATTCCAACTCTTGGAAGACATTTTTGTAATATTCTCCAGGACCATTTAGGAGCATGTGTATGCTTGGACTTTTTGTGTTCAGGGCTAGTTCGAAACACCACAAATCGCTATTTATTTTAAGATGGATTGGCAAGACAGAAAATGTCTGTATTTTCTATACCTGTTTAAGGCTGGCTTATCAAGACTACTATACTGTGTAGAATGCATTAAAGTATAGTTTGTTCAAATAGTTTGTTATATGGAAAGATCAATTTCTAACTTATTTGACGAGTCCTTAGCCTAAGTATATTGTCCTGATGAGGATTTTATATCAGAAACAGCTGACCTCTTACCATGTAAAGTTACTGTATTCTTGTTTTTGATGTTTAGAGTCAAGAAGATAAAGGTATAAAAGAAGATTTACAAGCTAAAGTTGATATATTAAGTAATTTAGAGAAGAAATATTCTGACTGTGGACCTGTAGTAGATTGCATTGTATTTAATGATGGTGACACGTGGAGGTAGGTAAAACGTCATATATTTCCATTTTAGTACATTCCATATTCTACAACCAACAAAACAAAATAGCCGACAGTCATGAAAAATTATGGAAATTTTTATAACCTGGATCCTCGAAAATTATGAAAAAAGATTTTAACAAAACACCTGTACAAATAGTTTTTTTCATTTTTCTCGAAGAGTTATTTCGCGTCATATATATCGTTATGACATTGTATTTTTTTAGAGCCTGTATTGATACTAGTGAAAATGGAGTACTACAGAGATGTACAGTATTAGCTAGTTACAGAGAAGAACAACAATTTGCTAGATTAAATAATGCAGGTTTGAAATCCTTTCATTTCATTGTCCCTTTAACAAGAAAAGTGGAAATTTATATGAGATAAAAGATGAATTATATCAACTGTTAAAGGGATTGTAAAGAGGTTTTCTAAGTATTTTTTTGTGTATCAAGGACACTGATAGCATCAATTTGCACCATTCCAATTTTCATTCCGTCTGTGGTTTTTGCAATTCCAAGTCACTAGAGGAAAACTGCATAGATATCAATAGTAGCTACGGGTAAGCCCCCCTCTAGTGACGTGTTAGTTTTAGTGGAGTTGCAAGAACCACAGACGGAATGAGAATTGGAATGGTGCAAATTGATGCCATCAGTGTCCCCGATACACATAAAAAGTTTAGAAAACTTCTTTACAATCCCTTTAAAGTAATAATTATGACAACTGTATTCATAATGTGAATCTTTATATTGTAGATATGTTAAATTATAGTGTTAATATTCATAATGATGGTAATATTCTAGAAATCTGTGCTAATATTGGTAAGATAATATTTTGCAATATTCCTGTTTCCTTAAGACAAACAAAATGTGGAATAGGATTGGAACTGTTCCACAGAATCCATTTGATGAACCTCCATTGATCCTTGCCTTCATCATATTTGAAGTTTGCTTTTGCAAACCTGTAATAAGCACTTTTAAGTGCTGTATATGGAAATAAGATTGATAATAACTTCTTGTATGATTTTCAGGTTCTCATGGAACTCATGTAGCCTGTATTACTGCTGGTTATTTTCCTGACAAACCAGAAAGAAATGGAATAGCACCAGGAGCTCAGATTGTTGGCATTAAGATTGGAGATTCCAGGATTGGTTCCATGGAAACTGGATCAGCTTTAGTCAGAGCTGTTAGTAATTTTATAATATCTTGTTTGATATAGCTATGTTATTAATTTGACAAATTCAAGATAATATTTTGTGAATGGGGCTTTTGTGGTTCAGGCTGTGCTTTTTTAGTCTAGGTGGTGAGGCAAATCCCTAATCTGGATGTTAAGGGGTTCCTTCAGCATTGATCAAGATTGTACTTTGGTACATTGAATGATAAACTTTAGTCCTGTATATGTTAAAGATTTAGATGGATATCAAGAAAAGGGATAGGCTGCCTTGAAAATTCCCTCATTACACAGTATCAGAATTGGGCAGAGTCGCAGTATAGTGAGAAAGAAATTGCCTTGTAATAATGAAAAATTTAGTAATTATAGATAGCTCTATTTTCTTTGTAGATGATCAAAGTAATAGAGATGAAATGTGATTTGATCAATTTTAGTTATGGAGAGGGGGCACACTGGACCAATGGAGGGTAAGTATGGGTTGTCAAATATTGGCCATTATTGATAGGAACCATGGACAGTGCCCCTCTTTACTAATCGTATACCATGACTATTTATAGCAACTGCTTTACATATTAGTCACCCCTTTATTCAATTCCTTCAGTTAGAAATATCTTGGCTGATGTTAAAGATATTAACCTGGTTTCCTCTGTCAGTTATGCAGATCTGAGGGGCTGACATGGAGAAAGCATATATACTACGTGTGTCAAAAAACTGATATACTATAGACGGTGCACTTTAAAGATCCTGTGAAGTCTAAAAAGAATAGGTCAATGCTGCAGAATCCTGTCAATACTTTCCCTGTTGTTATTGTAGACGTGTGTGTAAAATATTGTCAGAGACAGTAACTAAACATGGTGTTATTTATGTAGCTAGTGCAGGAAATAATGGCCCTGCTTTATCTACTGTTGGTACACCAGGTGGCACAACACATGCTATAATAGGTAAGATCACAGTGGGCAATTTGATTGGATCTCTTTGGTCGAGCTAGAGTAAATGGAAAAATGACGCATTATCCCAGTCGAATTTGATTGAGTTCATGCAATATGGCTGCAGTGTGAACTTACATGTTTTGATCAACCAGGTTTTACACTTCTTAGTAAACTTAATATGCTTTATCTCAAATAAGAACATAGATATAGTTGTTATCAAGAGTAAATGATGAAGTCTCATTATTTCAGGTGTGGGTGCTCATGTATCACCTGCTATGATGGCTGCTGAATATTCTTTAAGAGAAATGTTACCTTCCATGCATTACACATGGTCTTCAAGAGGTCCCAGGTAATTTTCACATTCTTATAACTGATGGCATCATGGATTGGGCTTGTTTATTCTCACACGGAAATTTGGTTCTGTCATTTGGGCTGCTTTTGTTAGATGTTGATGAGAACATAGTCTCATGAAAGCACTGGCCTAGGTCACAAAGTAAAGATTCATAATAAAACAAGATGCAAGTTAAAGGTTAAGATAATTAGACATGTTTACTAAGGATGTCTCTGTAATACTATCTGTGGTAGTATCATTTCTTTAGATGAAATAGCTGAAAATATAAGAGTCAATGTTATTCTGATATATTTGTGTAAGCAATATATTTTGACAAAGCAATAGAATCTTCCTTGATACGAGAAACACATAGAATTTTAAATTGACATGATCTTCAATGACATTCCACTTTGATTTTGGTTGATGGTTAGGACTCGAATGTTGGTTTATTATTTTATACACAGAGCATCTGCTGTTGAAGTTTGTTTTTAAAGTTTCTCTTGATTCAGAACAACTTTGCAGTGAACCATTGTATTTATATTTGTATTCTAGTCATGATGGAGCTCTAGGTGTTTGTATCAGTGCACCAGGTGGAGCTATAGCCTCTGTACCTAACTGGACACTACGTGGTTCTCAGCTGATGAATGGTACTAGTATGAGTTCACCTAATGCTTGTGGTTCAATAGGTAAGGTAAAAGTTCCTTGAGATTGTATGAATGCCCAGAGGCTTGTTGTGTCATATACTTAGTTACATTACAGATCTCTCTTATTTGGATTCAAGACATCTATGTACATCCAGGATTGTTTATAAACATATGCTAAAGTAATCAGCTAGTCAGAATAATGTACTAGAAATTTCAGTATGAATTCTCAAAAGCTAGAAGCTCCAAGAGATAAAGAGTTCTTAATATTTGCATAACAAGAGCTTAATTTCAGGAAATAAGAGAATTTTTGCAAGAATTCAATATGGACTGTGTGTGACAATCAGCTTACATCTTCACAGTTGGTCAAATCTAAGGTGAAAATTGTTTTAATTTCAGGTTTAATATTGTCAGCTTTAAAAGCCAATAATATTCCGTATTCACCACACAGTGTACGTAGAGCTCTAGAAAATACTGGTAAACATGTAGAGGGTGTTGAGGTGTTTGCTTTAGGTCATGGCATGTTACAGGTAAACTTTCATTTGCTTACAAATCAGTTCCTCATATCATTTCACTAGAAATTTCAACATACAGCTCTTGCGTTAATTCTATTTTGAATATCTCCAATTCTGTGAAACGGGAATGCTTTCTTTGCATTCAGCCCTAGCTGGATCCAAGGGGGAGGGGGTAAGCATGGAGTTTAAATATATATTAAGAACAAGACACTTTCAAAGTTTGTATATCCTATCAAAAATGAGACATTTGCCTCCATTATGCCAAGATGTAAGCTTATATAGAACACAATATACATAAGATGAGCTCTTACTGCAGTCCAGTTTTTGTCCAGTTCTAGCAAAGTTAGCTTTTTCAGGTGTTATATTATTTCAATCAAGTTTCAATAAATATGGATATAATCTTAGAATATTTTGTATATTTGGATATATTATGAATATATTTGTTAATGTTTTATAGGTAGAAACGGCGTATGAATATCGGTGTAAATACATTGTTATTATAGGTAGAAAAGGCGTATGAATATCTATTTAAATACATTGTTATTATAGGTAGAAAAGGTGTATGAATATCTGTGTAAATACATTGTTATTATAGGTTGAAAAGGCGTATGAATATCTGTGTAAACATGCAAGATGTAATGAAGATTATCTAGAGTTTATTGTACACTGTAATGGAAGTAAGAAGGGTATTTATATACGTGAACCTGGACTACAGGGTAGACCAATTGAAAACACTGTTACAGTTGAACCTAAGTTTATGGAAGATAAAGCAGGTATATATTTAAATTTTTATTGTCATTAGCATAATCAGATGGAAAAATCTGTCAGCTTCTGGTTGCTTTACCAGGTGGAGGAGCTCATTTTTAAGTATCAGTATCTTAAGACATCTGATCACTTTTCAAAATTGAAATTTGACCCTGGTTTTCCTGCAATTCAATGAATGGGTACTGGTGAAGTATAGATTGTTGTCACTCCCATTATCATGGCCATAACAGCTTATGTGAATGTTCATAATTGCTTATGTGAATGTTCAAAACTCTCCATTTGAATGTTCATAACTGCCCATGTGAATTTTCAAAACTCTCCATGTGAATCTTCATAACTGCCCATGTGAATGTTCATAACTCTTCATGTGAATGTTCATAACTGCCCATGTGAATGTTTCCATGTGAATGTTCATAACTGCCCGTGTGAATGTTTCCATGTGAATGTTCATAACTGCCCGAAAGGGTTGTCAGTCAAAAATCAAGCAGAATCAACAACCCTCTTTTGTAACAAATAAATGATAGTTTTGGTTTAAGTTAAGAGCATGTTATATCATTATAATTTTCAGAGCAAAAGGAAAAGATTGACCTGTGTTTACAGTTAAGATTAATCTGTTCTGAGAGTTGGGTCCACTGTCCACAACATTTAGAATTGATGAATACAGCTCGATCTTTCTCTATTAGTGTTAACCCTTGTGGCTTACCTATTGGTGTTCATTATACAGAGGTAGGTATTATAAAGACTTGCCAAAACTTATCTACCATCCTTGAGGGCTGCCAGTTGATATTCGACATTTTGCATTTCAGATAGAATCTTATAGCAAACTGATTCATGCTAAAGAAACGCCAAAAATTTTGAGTTATTGAAAACAAAATTTGAGCTGGAATTGAATAGTGGAGTCTCCAAGTTTTGAGCAGAATCATAATGATGCATATTGCTTTTTTGATTATTTTGAATAAGATTGGAATGTTTTTTGGAACTTGCACAAAATGATAATAAAAATTTATGCTGAGAAAGTTATTAACACATACTTAAAGAAGGGTTCCCTTATTTTCATATTTTCTAATGACTTGGAAAAATACCAGTTTGTCTCACATGTCCATAATTAATTCATAATTAGCTAAATTAGAAGAGACTAACCAACAGAATTCAAAAGAGTGACCAATCAAGAAAGGTCAAAAAGTCTTTTTTTGATTATCCAGACTGTTCATACATGGACATTAATGATTGGTTACAATTATATCAATTATATGCAATAAGAACATGATTAGAATACATGATAATTCATTAGAAACACCAATTAATCAAATAGTTTTCTTAATTTGAAACTTAAAATTGAGGAAACACATATTTGAATACTGTTTAACCAAATTAGAGCTATTGCTATATATTATGCATGTTATGCTTTAGGTACGTGGTTATGACTGTCACTGTCCAGATAAAGGTCCTGTTTTTAGAGTACCAATAACAGTTATAGTACCAGAGAGGTAATACTATTGTATTAGAACAATGATTAAGCTCTACTCAGGAGGATCCATGTTGTCTAAGATAGATAGACAGGAGCTAGTTCCTTAACCCAGAAGTCTATGGCTCAATCACGAACAGTGGCTTAAGAAGCTCATAGGCATCCACTCATATCAGGACTAGAATACTGCTAGTGACAATATAAATAATGAATAAGAGTTATTGCCCTTGTTCTTGAATACATGTTTTAGCTCATAAACACTCTAGAAAGCACAATTTTTGCTGAATATTGACAAATTTCTTTACCTTTGCTCATTATCACCCCAAAAAGTTTGAAAGAAGTTTATGACTGAATATTTCAAGCTGGTGATTGTTACTGTCTTGCCAAATATTTTTATTTAAAATCAAGACTGCCAGTGGGCAAGCTGTCTTAAAATTTTTAAGGAACTGTTTAAACTCAATAAATCTTTGTCCCCACAATATGTAGAACAGTAACCTTGCAGTAAGCTTAAGTTGAATATTTATTCCATTTGTTGATGTGTTTCTAGAGTACTAGATGAGAAGAATTACTTAGTTTCTTATAAAAATGTTAGTTTTAAACCTGGCCAAATTCAACGACATTTTATTCAAGTTCCACTTGGTGCTACATCAGCTGGTAGGTAGATTATTTCAAAATGATAGTTTAATTATTGTTTGTGGTATATTAAGGTAATCAACTCTTGCTTGCCTTTGATTTCATTGGATTGAACTGCTCTCTTAAGGTCTTTAAGTGCATTTAAACAGTTTGTTCATAGTCAATTACTGTCCCTATGCATGATTAAGTTTCGGAAACATCAAATGGATAATCATCTTACTATTTATCTTCCTGTGGTAGGATACTCATTTTCAGCTGTCTGTGTCACTTATTAGAATTAACGTTTGATCTCTGTCCCTTTTCACATCAACAAAATAACACTGCAGAAGCTTAGACTGTTATTGCTTTTTGGTTGTTGTTAACATTCTCCCAAAGTTACACTTGATGACAACATGATATAAGTAGTATCTACTTGTCGGAATGTAGGACGTAAAGCTCCATTCATTTCATTTTATTTACATGTTAGAATGTTGATAATGGTCCAAGCATAAAGGGTTTAAGGATGCATTTGATTTATAAAAATAATAATAATAAACTCTATATTTTACATGAGTCAGAATTAGCCCAATACACATGAAAATGGTCCTGATCTAACATTCAGCCCATGAGGACAAAATAATGAATGAATGAAAAAAAAAATTCAATACACAATACTTCAATGGACATCCTGTTTAACAAATACACAAAGTACATGTGTATTAATTAAATGGACAGACTATGTTGCTGTGATCAAGATGTATGAGATGGGCAAGCTTGCGCTGACTTGATCAAGTAATTTAATTTGATTTTGATGATCCGTTCTTTATTTTCAGCCTTAAAGATACAGTCTCAGGACAGTGAGAAGAATTGTCGTATGTTGTTACATTGTATGCAGATCAGTCCTCAGAGTATTTATAAAAAACATGAATTTGAGAAGTTTGTTACTATAACTGATAATGGTGAAACTGTTCAAGCTTTCTCTGTCTTGGTAAGTGTTGCTAGTTTTTAACTGGCTTTATTTGCCAATCATGTCTGATAGAGTTTCCAAACTTATCGGTTGTGATTCTGGTCTTTAGGACATTAGTGATTTCTCATTTTTGTTCAATTATTAATTGAGATTATAATTTATTTTTCACCTCTCAGTATAAGCTCTTAGTATCACTTTATTAAATGAAACTTGAAATCTGGTTTGTTTGCAATTAAATTAACAAACCACTGTTATCCAATTTCTGACTAAGTATATTTATGGTAAATGATAATAACTTTCTTTAGATTATTCAGCATCATATTCTAATATGAAAAGAGATGAGGTTCATTGATACAACAAGTAACACTATTGTAAATCATATAGTTTGTTGAACTTTTTTTGATGTTTATAGCCAGAAGTAACATTAGAAGTATGTATAGCTAAATGGTGGGCCAATCTAGGCACAGTATTACTTGATTACTCTGTGATATTTTATGGTAATGGACTGGATGTAGTGAAGCCAGTCATGGTAAGTTTTATGATATGAATAACTAATCAAGTACAAATTGTATCACGATAAGTTGACAATATTTTGATTATTATTGTTCACCTTCCACATGCCGCCATCTTTAAATATTTCAATCTAAGCAACTCTTTGGATGATTATGATGATTAGCCTAATCAGTTTAGGTAAACTTTCTCACACATGTACCGATTAGCCTAAACTTCCTGGCTCACAAATACACAAAACAGCTAATCTATCAAATCAAATCGGCCTACAAAAACGCCTCTTGTATAAACATTGATTTTGTTGATATTGTGTATTATAGCATGCTGCTGATTCCATCACACGATATAATATTAGAAATTTCTTAAAACATGAAGAAGCTCAACCTTCAGTGACTTTAAAAACATTGGTACAACCTGTTAGGTCAGTATGATTTCCTTTGTATTTTCCTATTTCATTTAAAAATATAGGCTTAAGAAAGGGCAATTATATTAAATTAAATGTACACGAACGATGGTGTGTGGCCTCTTTGATTCAATGAACTGTATACAAATTTCTTTTCTTCCAACTTAGCCAAAATAGTCTTGATGTCTAAATGTTTTCACCAAAATGTATATATAACTCTTGAATTTATGTTCTATGAAGGCTAACATTTTCAGTAACAGAAGAATGTCTTTGATGCTTTCCTCAATAAACCTGAATCAGTTTATATTTTGTATGATTTCAGACCTATTGAATCTAAAATAGTATGTTTAGAGGGTTCACGAGATCGCCTACCAGACAACAGACAGATTTACTCTATAGAGTTAACATATAATTTTAATCAGGTAATCTATTCTATGAGCAATTTTTTCTGTTTAGATATTTAACAGTTTCAAGTGTAATATTTATAGTTTAAATACATCTTAAAGGTCTTGGAATACTGAGATGTATTTTTAAAAGACTATAAATAAAAACATTCTTGTTTATGCAAGTTGAAAAGTTTTTTGAATTTTTTCGATATTTTTTAATAGTACTGATAGTCTTAGAATGTCTTTGCATTGATAAGAACCCCTGTAAAAACAAATTTGGAAGACAAAATGTGTGCTCATATATTTTTATCAATGCAAAGATATTTTAAGATTATTTTGATACTGATATTCCAATTACAATAAAAATAATAGGAAAAATTAAAAAAAACTTTTTATTGTGCTCAGACAATAGTAGGTGCTTTATTCATATAAATTCAAAAAATTGTCATATTCTTATATTTTATCCTTTATATAATTTACAACTTGCCAATAAACATTTTTGGGGTAAGATGAAACATATACTAAGGCTTGTATCTTTTTATTTCAGGCTAAACAAGGGGAAGTTACTCCTGACTGCCCATTCTTATCTAATTTATTATATGAATCAGAATATGAGAGTCAACTATGGATGTTATATGACTCCAATAAACAGTTTATAGCTGGTGGTGATGCTTATCCTAATCAGGTAAAATTGATAAATTGATTTTAAAGTTATTCCTTACTCTTTATAAACTGTTTTGAATTCGATGAAGAACGATGTGATGTTTCTAAAATATTTATTCGATGAACATGAACGATGACAACATGGCGATGACAGATGATGTTGTGGCAGTGTTGAGCAGACGGAAGTTCAATTTCTTTGTCTTGGACAACCTAGTAGACGCTTGCTCGGTAACCTGAAGGTCCAGGGTTCAATCCCGGCATAGATCGAGGTAATACCTTCGGATTTTTCAACCCGGTTTCCCCCTGTCAGCGATGCAGATAAGAGGGGCTGACATGGAAAAAGAGTCTAGTCGTTCGGATGGGACAATAAACCGAGGCCCTGTGTGCTACAGGCTGTGCACATTAAACATCCCTCGACAGTTGGAAATTGAAAAAGATCAGGCTAATGCCGCTGTCCTGGCAAAATTTCCCTCATTGCACCCTGCATGGCGTTGCCCGTCTTTATTAGCCAATGAAAAGCAGGACGTAAAACTCCATTCATTTCATTTCATTTTCAAATGTTCTTCAATCATGTACAATACTTGGGTAATAATTACTGTTAGGTTTGATTGGTGGTGAGATCAAACCCTCCTCTTCAAGACAAGATATATTTCAATGCCACTTAGAAAGCTTAAATTTGTCAATACTTAATATTCTTTAAAAGAGTTTGAGCTGTTTTAGAGTTAATCTTTCAAATTGTTTTTTCTTGCAGTATACTGTCAAACTGGAAAAAGGTGACTACACCATTAAGTTTCAGATACGACATGAAAAGAAAGAGTCTCTGGAAAAACTGAAAGACTTGGTGCTTTTGCTACATTCAAAACTAGCCTCTAATTTAAACCTGGATATCTACAATACATGGCAAGGAGCAATAAATGGTGGAAAGAAAACTTCTACTATGAACGTTCGAAAAGGATCCATCAATCCCATATTTTTGACACCTCTACCAGATGATAAGTAAGCTATATGAACAACTGATACTTGAGATCTCTAGTACTTTAAAGGGATTATAAAGAGGTTTCCAAAACTTTTATGCACATCAGTGACACTGATAGCATCAATTTGCACAGGTCCAATTTTCATTCTGCAATTCCATTATAACTAGAGAGTATAAGGAGAACAATGAGTTTAAAGAGACAGATTCACTATTTGTTTGACCAATCATACCTTAGTATCAGAAATGGGAATATTTTTGGTAAAGCCAATCAGTAATAGTGTTTACTTCTACCATCTAAATTTGAGTCTTCAAATCCACGTGTGTCCAGAATTATCCGCGTTTGAAAGTTGAGACTCGTCCTTTCTTGAGACTCTGCTAATTATCAAGAAATATTTATAGAAAATGAAAGTGAAGTATATTTTAATGGGTTTATGCTATTTTCGTGCAGTTCTAGTACTTCCGAATACTATTCATATTTTAAGACACAAATCAAACCCTGAAATTGCTCAATCATGGCCTTTAACCAATACTTGAGATAGTCTGCTTTTTCCTACTGCACTAATTTTCTTGCTAATTAAACCAACTGATAATCTAATTGCAGCGTTTTTATTTTATTTTCTTCAGGGGTTTTTGATAGTCAATTTCAATCCCTCAATATTTTCAATTTTTGTTTCAGGTTACCTAAAGGTGTATTAGCTGGTCAATATCTATCAGGAACTATAACTCTGTCTAAAGATGATGCTTATAAAAAAGGAGTATGTTCCATATTTGAAGTTTTCAGTATTTTGTTGTTTGTAAAATTCATTGTGATTCCAATCTTTGTTACTATTTTGTTACTGAATGAATTGAAAGTTAAAAGTTTTTCAGTAGTATAAAGTGGTATAAGTACTAATTAAATAAAGTTAGCAATCATCGTACGCTGTCTTAATTTTATGTAGTGTAGACCAAAAATTTCCAAACTAAATCTCATATTCTGATTTTGTTTATGCCATATCATTCTTATAACAATTCTAAAAATAATTTTTTTTTAGGATTTTTTACATAATAATTGTTTGTATTTAGGATTGGAAAACTAGCAGGTATCAATTCAACTATATGACCATATTTTCAGGTGACCTATCCCTTTAAATATGTCCTGACAGAAAGTCCCAAGAAATCCAATAACAAGAAAAAAGAAAAGGAAAAAGAAAAAGAGAAGACAAAAGAAGAAGAATATAATGAAGCTTATTTAGATCTTCAGTCATCTTGGATAGCCAAGTAAGACTTAATAAATCAGGTTGAAAATTTAAACATAAAAGTATGCCTCTGTCTTTGTAAATGTATACTGCATCATTAGTCTTATTCCATTCCTTCAGTGGTGGTGCCAGCCTTCCGAGACTCGGGGAACAAATACTCAAAGACTCAATGGGGGGGGGCGACAACTGCTGAGGCTTTCAAATTTTGGATACTCTGTGTTGGTGTCATAGTCGCAAACCATTCATAGAGCATCTTAGAGGGTTCTCTCAAGAAAATGTTAGAAAAAATGAATTGATTTTGTTCATTCTGACACATTTGAACAGATGTGAAAACAGCTTGGTTGAAAATGGAGATGAATTTCAATTATTGGACTTAGAGAGAACATACTCTGAAATTTGATTTTATTAATACTATGTCCTGTCTTTCATGGACAATATTTCGTTAAATCTGATTTCTCCCTCAACCCAAATATATTATATACCTCAATTTCCAGATTGAGTATAGAGAATGGTTTATATGAAGAAGTTATTGATAAACATCCTGACCATATACCACTATATTTATCTAGAATACAAGCTTTAGAAGCTAACAAGGTATGGGTGGATTAATTATAAAGAAATTATAGAGATCTGTAATAAGATATGATATATTGTACGAAGAGATTAATTATAAAGAGATAATAAAGATCTATAATAAAATATGATATATTGTAGGAAGAGATTAATTATAAAGAGATAATAAAGATCTGTAATAAAATATGATATATTGTAGGAAGAGATTAATTATAAAGAGATCTGTAATAAAGTATTATATATTGTAGGAAGAGATTAATTATAAAGAGATTATAGAGATCTGTATTAAAATATGATATATTGTTGGAAGAGATTAATTATAAAGAGATCTGTAATAAAGTATTATATATTGTAGGAAGAGATTAATTATAAAGAGATAATAGAGATCTGTAATAAAATATGATATATTGTAGGAAGAGATTAATTATAAAGAGATTATAGAGATCTATAATAAAATATGATATATTGTAGGAAGAGATTAATTATAAAGAGATAATAGAGATCTGTAATAAAATAAGATATATTGTAGGAAGAGATTAATTATAAAGAGATAATAAAGATTATAATAAAATATGATATATTGTAGGACGAGATTAATTATAAAGAGATAATAAAGATCTATAATAAACTATGATATATTGTAGGAAGAGATTAATTATAAAGAGATAATAAAGATCTATAATAAAATAAGATATATTGTAGGAAGAGATTAATTATAAAGAGATAATAAAGATCTGTAATAAAATAAGATATATTGTAGGAAGAGATTAATTATAAAGAGATAATAAAGATCTGTAATAAAATAAGATATATTGTACGAAGAGATTAATTATAAAGAGATAATAAAGATCTGTAATAAAATAAGATATATTGTAGGAAGAGATTAATTATAAAGAGATAATAGAGATCTGTAATAAAATATGATATATTGTAGGAAGAGATTAATTATAAAGAGATAATAGAAATCTGTAATAAAATATTATATATTGTAGGAAGAGATTGATTATAAAGAGATAATAAAGATCTATAATAAAATATGATATATTGTAGGAAGAGATTAATTATAAAGAGATGATAGAGATCTGTAATAAAATATGATATATTGTAGGAAGAGATTGATTATAAAGAGATAATAAAGATCTGTAATAAAATAAGATATATTGTACGAAGAGATTAATTATAAAGAGATAATAAAGATCTGTAATAAAATAAGATATATTGTAGGAAGAGATTAATTATAAAGAGATAATAGAGATCTGTAATAAAATATGATATATTGTAGGAAGAGATTAATTATAAAGAGATAATAGAAATCTGTAATAAAATATTATATATTGTAGGAAGAGATTGATTATAAAGAGATAATAAAGATCTATAATAAAATATGATATATTGTAGGAAGAGATTAATTATAAAGAGATGATAGAGATCTGTAATAAAATATGATATATTGTAGGAAGAGATTAATTATAAAGAGATAATAAAGATCTGTAATAAAATAAGATATATTGTAGGAAGAGATTAATTATAAAGAGATAATAAAGATCTGTAATAAGGTATGATATATTGTAGGAAGAGATTAATTATAAAGAGATAATAGAAATCTGTAATAAAATATTATATATTGTAGGAAGAAAGAGATAATAAAGATCTATAATAAAACATGATATATTGTAGGAAGAGATTAATTATAAAGAGATGATAGAGATCTGTAATAAAATATGATATATTGTAGGAAGAGATTAATGATAAAGACATAATAGAGATCTGTAATAAGATATGATATATTGTAGGAAGAGATTAATTATAAAGAGATAATAGAGATCTGTAATAAAATATGATATATTGTAGGAAGAGATTAATTATAAAGATATAATAGAGATCTGTAATAAAATATGATATATTGTAGGAAGAGATTAATTATAAAGAGATAATAGAGATCTGTAATAAAATATGATATATTGTAGGAAGAGATTAATTATAAAGATATAATAGAGATCTGTAATAAAATATGATATATTGTAGGAAGAGATTAATTATAAAGAGATAATAATGATC